TGTTATATCAGCAACTAGCTCTGTAATTTATTTAAATATTTGTATGTAACTACAGCTGGGAAACTATAAAGACGATTATCATTATTATTATTATTATCTGTCAAAAACAATGTTGCCAAAAAGATACCAGCAAAAAAATCACTCATTACCACAAGCATATTGTCTCCGTCTCACAATCAACCACATTAATTACTGATGTATCCGATGTATTAAAAAATGCTGATTCATCAATGAAAACTCATAATAAATTTAAATATTTGTGGAAAAACAATATATGTATATACATGTGTATATTATACAGTTTCTTGAGTTTATATTATCATTTTCATTTGCTGAAAATAATTTCAATATACACCCTTTGTAAACCAACCTCAATGGATCAAAATGTATGCAAAATGTGTGCAATCCCATGATATCAAAAAATTGGCATTTCTGAAAGGCTTCGGATTTTATCACATTGTTATACACTCGAGTTATTTGCGTATTCGAAAAACACACTTTAATGTAAGATTTCCGAATGACAGTTCACAAATCTGCGACATGTGTTCCGCTGTAAAATAACATGGCGTCACAATACTGTTTGAAATAATTCTCTGTCGTGCTTTTACGAGTATAGTAATTTGAATCCTCATGAATATTAGGTAAGGTCCAAAGAGAGTCTATTTGACCCTCCGGCGCAACCCGCAAGGTTTTATTGTGGTTCACACCTATTCACGCTCTACCAAATAAACCCAGCTTCTCAACGAAGCCGATTAGTTTGTATGGTGAGTGGTCTTTCAGGACAGATGGTAAGAGTACGGCTCTGCCGAACTCTAAAAACCTGATTCAGTTCCCAGCGGGACAGGCACAAAGTATGTGCTCTGCTGTTTCATCATTTTCCAAACAGAGGCGACACACACTGTCATTCAAATGACAGTGACCTGTAAGAAGGCCTGATAGACATTGTAGTTCATTCCTACTGTAATCCAACAACTGTTTGGTATCAAGCTTCAAAGGGTGAATAAACGCCTTGAAGTGAGCCAATCCTGGAAGTTTCTGCCAGAACTTCATAAATCTTTTTGCCATCCAGGTGTTCAAATCTTTGTTTGGCAAAGCCTAAAGTGATGCCAAGGACACGTTCTCGTCCGGTGAAGCTGCTTGCAGCACCCTCCTTTGCAAGGGAGTCAGCCTCCTTGCCTTCCAGGTCAGTACGGCCAGGTATCCAGATCAGAGACAATCTGTTAAGTGTCTTCCTATCGAGGAGAGTCGTTTTTGGCAATTTACTATCATTTTGGACGTTGCTCGGTAGGAGCAAAGAGCTTCCTACGCCAACAATTCAATTGCGTACATTTTCTCTTGAAATACAGTCGCATAGGTTCCTAGGCAGGTTGATGTCTCTGTCCTGTGTCTGCGACCGAAAAGACCTGCACCTCATGACTATTACTAACTGACGGATTTCTCTGTCAAAAGATGATTCGCGAATGTTGAATTGGTTTTGCCGCCTTTGAGAAATACGTTTTAAACCATCAAAAACCGCGTGGAAGCTGGCGCTCAATTCTTCCGCTATCTCACGCACCGTTTGTGATGTGTCAGTCTATACCAGGGTCCTCAAATCATCGTGTGTCAGTCTCCAACAGGTTCCTCGAATCCTCGTCCAGGATTACTGTAGGTCGACCACTTCGGGGCATCATAAGCTGAAAAGAGGCAAATAATCAAAATTTGGAAAAAACTGAACAGCAACAATGTATAGAGTACAAAAATCTCTATCAATCAGTATGACCAGGTGAACCAGGTGAACAACAACAAAAAACCTCATCTGAACCATATTGAGCACGTTTTTTTTTTCTACAAATGATCATGCTTGAGACACCTGATATATTGCGTTTTTTTGTACAACCGCTACATTTTTCTTATCTTTGAAACGGATGAACTCCGGCGCTCGATGCGCTCCCTCACTCATCTTAAATGTCAAGTCGCTACTGCCCCATGCGGTAATGAAAGTAACGTTGTATATCTATATTCTGTCCGTACGAGCAACAGAGTGCTCTAAAAAATTATGATGCATAGTGCACGTTATCTTCCAAGCAAGGCAAACATTTTAAACTTTAAATTTACGTATATGTACACACCTTGTAACGATATACCTGAATGAAATCCGCCAGCCAATGGCAGTTGAATCTGATTGGCCAGTGTAAGGAGGCTTGTTTTTTTTTACCCAATAGATTCAAATGTGCGTGGTGGTCACGCATCTATTATTGTTTGAGTTACTTTCTTTGATGGACAAAATTGAGTATCTAAAAGTCTAAAAATGATGTATTATATTGTATGTCGGCAACACTGTACACTGGACGTCACTCCGATATATCAGAGTAAAATTGGAGGGACTGGTTTTCCACGACGCGACACCTGGTAACAGAAGGATGAATATTTATTGAGATATGGAGCTACAAAAACACATGACATCAAAACAGACATATCTTTTGAAAAAAACTTAGTAGAATGATAAATTAAAAAGAAACGAACAAAATTGTAGTGAATGGACCCGTTTAATGCATTTTGACTTTTTTTTATCATTTCCCACAAAAAATGAGAAAAACATTTCTGTTTTATGTGTCATAGGCCATTAATTGAAGTGAAATAACAAGATCGATTGTTTGTGCAAATAAATGACTATATATAAAAAAAATGTGTAATTTCAATAAGTACTCCATAAGTTTGTATTTGGCTGATGTTTGTGGGAAAAAATAGTCAAAACGAAATAACACTTATTTTCTCCTCACTTACGATTGATCTCTTGATCAAGAAATAAGCAGTTGTGATGTGTTAGAATGAAGTCAATATCAAATTATCTTTTTGCAGCCTGCTGATGCAGACCAAAAAACTCCATAAATTCGAGTTGGCTGCCATTGCGAATTTATGCCCAGAATCAACAGAGGAAGCCAAATCTCTCATTCCATCTCTCGAAGGACGTTTTGAAGACGATGAACTGAAAGCTGTTTTAGAAGACATTCAGACAAAGAGGAGTATACAGTATTGAAGAACTTACAACTTCATCTGACTTGAACTGGGATTTTATTGAATATGTAAAATGAATTATTATTTCTACATCAATGCTTTTAGAGTCATACTTGGTATAGGTAATTTATATGTAATCGTTCAAATCCACATTAAAGTCAGTTTCAAGTAATCGTATTTTTAATAAGAGTAGAAATTACAGTTATGTGTAACACATTGAAAATGAAATGTTGACTGGTATGGTCAAAATACCAGTCAATGAAAGTATAAACATCATATCTGATAAACTAAAACACCAAAACATAGACAGAACCCACATTAACCAGAAGGAACACAGTCTAAATACAATACTTAATCAAAACTATTTCGAACCTGAAGGAAAAATGTATAAACAAACAGATGGACTAGCGATGGGATCCCCACTATCTAGCATTATATCCGAAATATACCTGCAAACCATAGATGAGAAAATTTTAACAATAATAAAAACACATGATACGTTGGCGATGGACTCTACATATCACAAAACAATGGAATCTTGCACCTTGATTATCCGACTACCTCATTAACGGCCAACCAGCAGGAATCTCTTCAGGGGGCTATTTTGTCGGCTGTGGAGGTTATTCCAGACGATGGGCTGCAGGTACAATTCCAGAGCTGCGTCTTTCGGCATGGATGGTTACAGGTCGTCTGTGAGGATCAGGTTAGCGCCGACTGGCTTGCGGGTATAGTTAAAACCCTGCAACCGTGGGAGGGCGCTTCCCTGAAATGCGTCACAGGGGACCCACTCCCGAATAAGCTACACATCTGTGTTGCTCACCTACCTAATGGAGGCAGTCATAGACTGACCTCCGCACAGGTCCTCACTAGATTGAGGAAAATGAACCATGGTCTGTCAACCTTGAGGTGGACGATCCTCCACAAGGAAAAGTCAGGCCCTGGTCAAACATGGACCTTCGCTGTAGGCGATGGATCCCTACCAGCAGGAAACTATTCAAACGAGTCACACTAGTGTACCCGTTAGAATAAATAAAGTGGGGCCGAGTGGAAATCCACCTATGGGGAGTTCAACCAAACCTCCACCCAAACATAGGGGTAAACCACCGGCTCACACCCACCCCAAGGCCGGAAAAACAGGTGCTTCTCAAGAGACGAAAACTGCAAACGTCTCGTCGAGTAAACCGAAAAAAAAGGCAGGACTTGGCTCTCTCCAAAGAGATCCAATAAATCAACAGGCAACTCAGAGACAGCAGGTGTCCTTACCTCCTGCTACACATCCCTCGATCCCGGGAGAGGAGGGTGGAGATGTCGTTAAGGACCCCCCATCTTCTCCCTCCTAGGGTCGAGGAGTTCTAAGTTTGCGGCAACACTTGTTATCTTCAAGTGGATGCAGGCAAACTTACAACATGCCAAAGCCGCTTCATACCTCCTTGGAAAAAACCTCAAGGATGAATTAATCGACCTGGCCTTCCTGCTGGAACCATGGACAGGAAATACAGGCCGAGTAACCGTACTAAGCAATATTCCTGGTGAGGTAATAGCATGCCCTGGGGTGAAACCCAGAGCATGTCTGGTCATCAGGAAAGGTATTAACCATTTTTTGCTTACAGGCTTCTGCACCCAAGACGTGGTAGTCATCCAAATTTCCCTATCGCGCAAAAAGGGCAAGACCAATTTTATCGCCTGCTCCGCTTACTTTCCGGGAGATTCGGATACTGTACCTCCTCTTGCTATTAGACGACTTATCGATGTGACGCCAATTCACACCATACAGCGTGGGGCAGCACGAATATAAGCCGTAGGGGTGAGTTACTCTTTGAATATATACTAGGGGAAGAGCTGTCTGTAATTAATGAGGGCTCGGATCCAACTTTTGTCGCTAGTAATAGGCAAGAAATATTAGATTTAACCATCAGCTCACATTCTCTGAGCAATCGTACTTTGAGGACGTATTCAGTACTATTCACAGTTGTAATGATATGGATACAGTAGCGACGTAATTTCGCGAAGTAGTGATCTCATCCTATCATGATAACTATCCACTGAGGATTTTAATACCTCCTAACTTCAATATTTTCAGACGCAATATCTCTTTTTGTTAATTATGAATACTAAAAATTTTGAAAATACATGAAAATATAAATTTTCTGAGTTTTATTTCCTTTTTCAATGGTATATTTGCAGAAAAAAACTTGAAATCGATATTGTCAGGGTGACAAAAACATTTTTATCGCTTCCTGTAAAATCATGTCAAAGGAAGATAAAAGGTATTGTCACATCACTGACGATATTGATATTGATATATTGAAGTACAGTTTATATATTTACATGTAACATATCGTGTTTTTCAAAAGTCTCAGATCCAGTAACTTGGCCTAGATATGTTTATCTGTTCTGCCATGTACTAGATCTATAGACTTTCTAAAAAAGTGTACATTTTATGATTATAACTAAGCAGTGAGTAGAGAAAAAATTCAGTAGAAAAATTAACCTGATAGATTCAATGAATTTTTTTCTTTTTTTAAAAATTATCAGAATATTTTTTGGTTGGGTAATGACTGTTAGCGTAAATGTGAGAAATTTTGTTTTTTCAATATTCAATTTTCAATATGTTAGTTTCATCAGTTGTGTTTTATTTCTCGTGAACTATGAACCACCTACGCTCTTTAATTTTTTCAGAAACCAGAAATATATATTACTGCTACCGCTTTTTCGTAGAACAAACGAGGTTTCATTTCCTTGTAGAAAAAAAAATGGAACTTTTTCTCGGATCTCAGGATATTGGAAGCCGTATCAAAGAACTCGCAGAGAGTTCTGGATTATGTTTTATATACCCATATTACTTTCATTCCTGAAAGATTTAGAGAAACCAGGGCGATAAAACTTTGCCTCGTTGTGAAATATCACTGAATTTTCCTATTTTATGTATACGCTATTCATGTATTCTATTTCAAAGTCACGAGCACTCGAAATTTATCAGGTTGAAAATAGTCGCTGGAAGCTTTTTATATCTCAAAAGAGAAAATATCGATTGCTTTGACAAATGTTGTTTATTTTCCGTTTCAGCGTGTGAAATGGTTTATTTGGTAAGAACACTTAAGCAGTGGGATTAAATATAGATATTGAAATAATATTTAGATTTGGATTCAATATGAATTTTGATGTGTCCACTTTATTAAGTCACACCGATAATTGAAATGGTGAGTGGATTGTTGCTGGCTGATGATGCTGTTTCGAAGCAATAAAAAAGTTCATCCCAATAGAATGGATTACCTTTGTGATATGGATATAAGTGTTGAATTAAAACTTATAGTATATATGGTCGGTCGGTAGCCAAGCGGTTCGGCGTGGTTGCTTCACTCACTCGAATTGACTGCCGTGTTGGTCGGTGGTTCAAGCCATAGTCTGAACGATCAATCTTCACTTGCTATCGTCCAAACCGTATTAGAAATCACACGTTGAAAGATAAGACCTCGTTAATCCTCAGCTCGCACAAGTTTCAACTTCTGAGGGTTGTCGTTCGTAGGGGTGCGACAGCTGGTTAACGGATAAAACAGATTTTTTTTAAACAATTCGAATAGCATAAAAACACAATAGTGTTTTTATGCTAACTACCTACAAAGAAACTACCGAACGTCGGTAGTTTCTTCGTAAGGCATTAAATTATCTGTAGTTGTATAAGTTACATGTTGTTAGTCCTTATTTTCATTTATTTTCGTACTTATGTTGTCTGTTATACAGTACCTACCTATATTTCTTTAAATGTCCCCCCCTTTTATTTTTTGAACAGGTCAACTCAAAAAAATGAAATTTGGGATAATAAAATTAATGCATTTTGAAAAATGCATTAATGCAAAATTAATGCATTTTGAAGTGAAATTGACAGATGAAACTTTCAAGATGGCGACTGAGCGCCATTTGGAAAAAAAATAAATGGAAAGGGGGGTCGTGTGATCATCTTTTTGAAGCTCCTGACAAATGCTTCACAATCCTTAATGTCAATATCTTCAACTACTAAAAAATGATAATTGCCTGAATACATTGACATTTAACTGAGGTAATAAGCTTGAGGTCAGTTCAAAAGATGCTTGCCTTGAACTTCTTGACATATGAACAGCCTATCCGATATTCACGCCGAACATTTTAGAACACAGTAACGTCATTATCTGTACAAATATTTATTATTCTCTGCCGTATATTCATATAATTGAAGCAGGTTCAGTTTCGTACACCTTTTGCTTCAAACAGCCTAAGAAAAAAGTCCAAAGGTGTTAAATCTGGTGAGCGGGCTGGTCATTCTGTAGGACCTCGACGGAAAAAGTAGTATCCAAATAGTTTCTTACTTTTCTGGAGTAATGTGGTGGTGCTTCAGGATTTGCTTCGACGATTTCAGTGATGAGAGGGTCAACAATAGTTTCCAGTATATTCAAATACAGTTCCCCTGTTAAATTCTGATCAATAAATAGAGGTCCTTCGATATGTTGTTCATCTTTTCATCTAGTTGCCAAATATTCTCATTTATTATTTGACTTAAGACAGACAGAAAATGAGTAATGCTATAAGGGTTATTTAGCAAATATTATGTCTTGGAACTACTAAACCCAATATTGGGGAACACTGAGTCCAAAAATCAACCGAATTGAGCGTCGAAGTTCTAATTCACCACCATAGTCCAAAGACCTTTCGCCAACCGACTACCATCTTCTCAAGCACTTCGATAACTTCCTCGCCGGTAGAACCTTCGCCATTCAAGGTCGGATAAAAACGGCCTTCGTCGACTTCATTAAACCTTGCGCACTTAATTCATCAACTTGGGTTACGTAAGCAAAAGTGCCCTGATTCAAATAGCGCATATTTCGCTTGAATTGAATAAGTATTCACTGAGATATTACAGTTTGAGATAGACTCATTAAAACGGTCAACACTTTTGTAACAACCTAATAACTTTATCTATCTGTCTGTGACATTTCCGTGTGTGCATAGAAATACAATTTTATCATGTGATTTGTAAATATAAAAAGATATGCTTCAGGGAAGTGTTGTCCAACTAATTATTGATTAAATATTATTGAGAGCAGATAAGATACACTTTGTAGTGTCACACAGTGGAAATAGATATTCAAACTGATATATTAGTGAATACATCAATTGAATAAATTTTAATCGATAATCAGACGTATCATGCTTTTTTTCCTCGTAAGATTAGCATTTGCTCGATTGTTGGATACGTAAAGCAGCCGGGTTTACTGCTCCAGGCCTTGATAAATGAGATAACACTTTATTTGAATCTGTAAAGTATTTCATATACTATAACAATTTTCAATTGAAGGTAACTCATATACAAATTGAACTGAGAGCTAACGGCAACGATGTTAAATGTTAGAACTACATTCTTATCGGGGTAATTTTTATTGTCTATGCATCGCCATTGTAAATAATTGAAAAGTAAGATGATTCCATAAAATTTGCCCCCTCGTAACAAGATAGCTTCTGCATATCGAGCGAATAGGTGAACCAGTTCGTTAAATACTTTGAAACATCGGTAAACTGATCAACACTTTGCAGGTCTATTATATTTGCGTCCTTGAAATGCCATAACTAATCATTCGGTTTCTTCATTATCAAGCGTCCTTATCTGCATAGGCGTAGTGTGTTCTGTTTCTTGTGAAGGTGACTTTGTTTTTAAAGTTCTCCAAAAAAGGAATAGGCTGACAATGTCTCTTTATTTCAAATTATCCGATTCCACTGGCGATTTTCAAAGGGCGACAATCTTTTATTACTTGAAAAGGGATCACATAAATCTTCATTGGTTCATATAGTTATGGACTGATAGCGAAGGAGAGTCCAATGACGAAGAAGACTTGCGAGTAAGGCGAGAAATACCGACCCGACGTCGAGTTTGGACGCCGGCGGTGTTGCCAAACCATCAACGCGAGTTTTGGCTTCCGGAGACTCGACAGAATTTTTAAATTTTGGTCAAGTCGAGGAATTTGGGTCTTCTGGAAAAATATGTTAGATTCATCATCAATCGGAAGTTGAATTTGGGATATACGTAAAGACAGCAGAAAATTCCTTAAATGCTCTGAGAACGGTTACTATGCGAAGGTGTCGATTACATTCATTTGGAAAAACTATCTCGGAAAGTTGATTCCACAATGACACCGTTCTCAATACGCATTTTTTTTTTTTTAAAGTGTAATTTGAAGAGTGTTGAGATGAACCACGAACATATGGCAGGTGTGATTTCCAAATATTTATGAACAGCACTCGAGTAGAAAAAAGACTTTCGACAGGTCCAAACGTTTGGAAGTCCAGCGGCAAATATTGACAAACACTGAGATTACCAAATATTTGAAAATTATACGATTTATCCTTTCTCGTACTTTTATTTGGCCGGGCATTTCTTATGAGTCTACTTTAAACTGAAATAACTCAGTGAAAACTCATTCAATTTAATCGAAATTAGCGTCATTTGAATCAGTGCACTCTTGCTAACATGATGCAAGTCGGTTAACTCCTTCAGCATAAACATTGTGTACTCGGGATTCGATGACGTCGACGAATGCCGTTTTTGCCTGGTCCTGATTGGCGAAAGTTCTACCGGTGAGAAAGTTATCGCAGTGGTTGAAAAGATGGTAGTCGGTTGACGCCGCTGACGACCATACAGTAACCATAACCTTCGATGTCGAACCACTGTCCTAACGTCTCCCGTTGTTGTACAGCATCCATTTTTCATCAAACGTGACGATCGGATACATGGTTGCGCTAAAGCAAAGGAGAACAAACTCTGAAAAGTGACAATTTCTGACGATCGTGCATTTCGTGGGGCCCCACTTCTCGATTTTTTTGATCTTTCCAATACCGTTTAAACCACCAGTTCTTCCGCCATTCCACGCACCGTTTGTGATGGATCAGTCAAAGTCAAAATGAGCTTTATTGTCTGAAGATTCATATCTTATTGACAAAGCTTGGTTAAAATAATTGAATAAAAAAAACAAAATTACACATATTAGCTATCGCTACTTAGTCACATAAAACTATAAACTATAAAATATTATACAATTTCAAGTAGATTCTGAATATTACAGATAATTACAGATAATAAATAAATAAATCATTACAGATATGTAAGCATCTGAAATACTACTAGAAACAAAGTATCTGATATCTATGAATATTGTACATCTAATATGATTGTAATGTGATTCAAATTGTACTACACCACTGATAACCTTTGTAGTTGATGCGGCTATATTAGTAAAAAAAATCTAATACTATTTCAATCATTTATTTCTATCTGAGCTTGTGTTCATACAAAAATGATGATGTGCCATCCGATGAACAAAAATAAGAGGTGTTTGCAACCAAAGGGGTCAATTTCGGAAGGGTTGTTTGAAATGTGGAAATTTGTGGTGATTGCAACTCCATTTAAACTGGCTTTGGGTCAGAATTTCTATCTTTTTGATTAACAAAGCTCTAGCTTGATTATAGTAATAAATTACCTTATAATTCTGTATGTTCACAAAAATGGACCATTTTATTCTATTCAATTACTGAAAAGTTGTTTCAGTTACAACGTCTTGTTTGAAATATTCGATACCACGGATTTATCGACGGGTTCATTACTATCCGTTTTTGTTTTCATACTGGCAAGTCAGAAGACATTCTTGACCTCCACAGGTGACCTGTAGATATTCAGAATAAAGGATGTAGCTCTAGAGTCTTACCTGGGAATCATCAAGCAGTTATTGTTATTTTCAAAATTGAAAAAAGACCTACGGATCCAACATTGGAGACATGCAGACATATCTGTGTCCACCACTACCCAACCCGTCAAAGAAACTAATTCAGATTGTAATTTGTCAACTACTCGACGTATAAAAAATACCCAAAATATGCTGCGGCAAACTTTTTTAACATGCTCAATGATGACTTGAAGAATCAGCCAAACCTGTTCAGATTCAAAACAAAATTGAGATGTTGAGATGATCTGTTATCTGGGGCATTTTATAGTATTTCAGAATTCAATTCGGACTGTCAATAAACAGTGTACTGTGTACTACTTACTTTCAGTGTTGCTTGATTTGAAAATGTTTTTAAAGTTCTCCAAAAAAGGAATAGGCTGAAGGCTAAAGCCGAAGCTAAAGTGGCCAAGAAAGAGGAAGCCCCTACCAAGAGGCCAAACACCCTCAGGGCTGGAACTAACACCGTTACGAAACTAATTGAACAGAAGAAAGCTCAGTTGGTAGTGATTGCCCACGACGTGGACCCTATTGAGTTGGTGTTATTCTTACCCGCCCTCTGCAGGAAAATGGGTGTACCGTATTGCATGGTGAAAGGAAAAGCTAGACTGGGACTTTTGGTGAGGCGCAAAACTTGCACTGCAGTAGCTCTTACCCAGGTTGATTCTGGTGACAGGTCCAACTTCAACAAGGTTGTAGAAGTCATCAAAACCAACTTCAATGACCGCTAAGACGAAATCAGGAGACACTGGGGTGGTGATTTGTTGGGTTCCAAATCCGCAGCTCGTATCGCCAAGATCGAAAGGGCCAGGGCTAAGGAACTCGCCCAGAAACAGGGTTGAGATTGGTAACTGGTTGTATTCTTGTTTCAATCCAACTTTGTAATAAATACATTATAAGTATGATCAATAAATGTCTATCTATCTCAAACTGCCGATTATTTCCAAATGGTAGAAGCATTTTTCTGCAATGAAAAACTGACTTTTTTACTAAAAAATACTCTGAGGAATGTTCCAATCCAACTCTCATTTTTTTCTTTGGTCATTGCTTCTGGCGAAGAAAACAAACACTTTTCTATTTCGAATTCTATAATCTCTAACCATACAATTTTGTCGTGGAAAATTCTGAACTGATTGATTTATGAAACGACAATTTTGTGGAAAAAAAGGTATTGGCTGTCTCCATCTTTATTTAAATCAATCTCAAAACGATGAGCAGCCACAGCCCGTCGCGTATCTCTGATATGTACCTCTCTTAATGGAATCAAATGTGCAAAGTCACATGAACACTTCCCGTGAAAGTTTCTATAGAAGAGAGACAAATCTCCAACCTTTCTTCGATGTTCCAGACAATCAAGGTTGCAAGTGATGTTTACGTCTCCAATCAGGCGGATGGCTCTTTTCTGGATGGAATCCATCAACTTCAGGAAGGAGTTCCATACATGAGAACAATACTCCAAATAAGGTCTGATCTGAGCTTCATAAATAGAATAGAACAGAAATTTATTCATACCGAACAACAAACAGAATGGTTTCCACTTACATGATGTACAGTTTTTTCAAAAGTGCCTTACATATAGTATTCATTGAATACCATTCATACAGTTGAAATCTATATGAAATATTACAATATGAAACAGTAAATAATAAAATGGACGTAAAAAGATTCAGACATATTTGAGCATTAGGAGTTGTCCCTCTGTAATACTGAATATATCCAGTTCACAGTTCCTCGCCATTTTGTTAACTGTTTCGAGACATTGTTGAAGAGGAGACAAATTGTTTGAGATACGAAATAGATTGCCTCTTCTTCTCAGTCTTACGTCAGGTACAATAAAATCAATATTATAGAGAATTTCAGGTACTTTCAGTTTTCTAAGAATGTTAAAAATAAAAATTACTTCCGAGGACTCACGGCGGTCTTTCAATGGTTGCATGTTAAATTCTTGTAATTGGCTAGAATATGATATAAATACAGGCCAAACATTGTGTTTTCTGAAAAAGAGTGTTCTTAATAATCGTTTCTGGACTTTTTCTATAGTTTCAGAATATAAAAGGGTCTTTGGATTCCAAATGACACAACCGTATTCCAGCTTAGAACGAACAATGGAGTTGAAGAGTAACAAACAAGTATCGTGATTGAATTCACGGCTAGATCTTGAGACAAAGTCCATTTTTCTATAACATTCAGATACTACTTTTCAATGTGCCGAGAGAAACTGAACACAGCAGTAAAAATGATCCCGAGATCTTTCATCTCATTGATTCTTTGTAAATTGGTATGATTAATGAAAAAGTCGTTAATAGTAGGTGACTTTTTTTGTGTGAAACTCATTATTTCGCATTTAGTCATTGAGTCATAGGTCAGATACTGAAAAGTAAGTAGATAGATTATTGAGATCATCTTGAAGCATATCAGAATCTTTTACGCTTTCAATTTTCCTGAACAGCTTGAGATCATCGGCATATAGAAGAAATTGAGAATACCCGATATACCGAGAAATGTCATTAACAAATAACACGAAAAGGAGAGGCCCCAAAATCGAGCCCTGCAGAACTCCCGAAGTAGCGGTAAATTTGAAGGAAGATACGTTGTTAAAACTGCTGCTAAAGATACGTTGTTAAAACTGCATTCTGTTGGATAGATAGCAGTGAAATAAATCAAATGTGTTATTTGTGAAACCGAATGCTTTCAATTTCAGGATCTAAACCTCATGGTTAACTCTGTCGAATGCCTTGGCCAGGTCATAAAGCATCAACAGTTGCTGAGTTGTGTATAGCTTTCTGGTTCTGAACAGTGTTCTACGCTTTTGAGAAGCAGTTTTTTTAAATTCCAGCGACATGATTCTGCCATCCAAATGTAATGACGAGACAAGTGTGATGTCGTCAGCAAAGCAATATATTGGATTCTTCCAATAAGTCGTTGATATACAATGAAAAGAGGGTTGGAAACAATATAGATCCTTGAGAACACCAGCGTGAACGTGGTGGAAGTTTTCGACTTTCTTCATGATTTGCCCTTTTTGGGAATATGCTAAACAAGAAGAAAAAACCCCTTTTTTGTGAGACAGGTTGAAAAATCTGCAAAACACTGGTGCGAGTTCATTTGCGCACTTTTTAAAACTGATGACGGGTACTTCATCAGGACTAGCCGCCTTGTCGATAATGAGCTGTTTCAAAATTTGCCTGACTAGACGCTGTCGAAAAGTAATTTCCGGCATTGTGGTTTCTAGTGTGGGAATGATGAGTGGTGCCTTTTCCAGAAAATCGACTATGGAGTGGGACGCGAATAGTTCAGCTAGTAGATTTGCTTTATATATGGCTGTTGTTGCCATTGAACTATCCATTTGTGTTAGTGGTGGAATTAAAGATTTTGTAAAGTTCTGATCAACAGCTTTTGCTACCAACCAGAAGAATTGGCAAGCAGTTTATCCCTAATTCTCTGATTGTGAAGTTATTTACTTTCATTTATCCTAAGTTTGCAGCTGTTGCGAGCATTAACAAACCTAGTTCGGTTTTCGATACTGGGATTTTTGCGTCACTGCCGGTAGGCAAGATTTTTGGAGGTGACAGCTTGCTGGTAATTTTTGTTGAACCAAGGTTTGCCGTTAGAAGGTCGTCTCATTGAAGAAATAATATATGCATCCATGAATGATAGAATAACTTCAGTGACTCCAGAAGCACAAGTTTATGGATCTTTAGAGCTGAAACAAACATCTAGCGAGGGGAAATTTCGGAAATGATCTTGAAGATCCTCCCGTTCAGCTGATCTCTAATGCCAAACTTGGCATTAGATCGTTTCCTAACATTTATCTGTAATTCACTCAACACTGAAATGAGTTTGTGGTCAGAAGATCCTAATGGAGACTTTACGATGACTATAAATTTCTGGATTGGTTGTTGGGTACAGATCCAGAAGATTAGCATATTCTCCATAATTGTCAGGAATAATCCTAGTTGGCTGATTTAAAATCTGAGTAAGTCCGCTGCTTATTGCAAAAGCCTCATCTTCGCGATCTTGTTCGTCGTTGATATTTGAAAATCTGAGCCATTCGATATTGTGGACACTGAAATCACCGAATATGGAAATTTATCCAAATATAGCTAATTTCTCAAAAGTAAAATTTACCATTTCTCTTTCGGGTTGAGGTTGAAGTCCTTTTCACAGTATAGACTGGTGAAGGATTCGGGATAATTCAAATGAAAACCCCAATCTATTCATATATCTCTCTGTTTAGTTTCGATGTGCATCATTTACATTCAGTATGGTCATATTCCTAGAATTTTCTTGAAAACCTCCTCCAAAATATTTTACTTCTTATCCTTGAAGTAGCAAGTCTTCAAACAATTTTCCCGACTTGGCAACAATGTAACGACGGCGCCAATCCAGTTTCGTGAATGCTACTTTATTGTGAGGACGTTCCTCGAAGCGACCTAGCAAGCTGCTCCTCTACCTATTTCGCTTGTTACGATATCAATTTTTTTGTGATCCTGCAAAAGTTTTCGCGACGTCATCAACATGATTATTTGTTTTGAAAATTGTGTTTATCTCACAGTTTGTTTCGGGTCCTCTGCAGTTTGAATGCTGTTTTACGGTATTGCGGAAGATAACTTTTACATAAACAATAAGTGCGCGGTTTGTTTGTTTGTTTGAATAACATTGCACGGTTCATTTTGGTGATTGTGAACTTTGTAGAAACTTTGTCGTCTGTGGATACGTTTTGTATTGTTGTAACTGGGTAAGTTCCTCTCGTTTTGTTCACCAATGTTACAGAAGATTTGTTTATAACTTGATAAATAATATTTAATCTCGTATTCTTATCGTTTGTTTTTATTTTTGCTTCGATATTCAACTGAGTCCAAAGGCGGCAATGTGCATTTCTGTAGCCTCTACACAGTTTATATTAGACTATTTCTAAAGTTTTTATCTGCATATCTGTAATATCTCAAGGAATACTAATTCTCTTTATTCGAAATGAGCGCTATTTGATTCTATGTACAACGTAACAAAAGTGGATTAATTCTGTCATTATTGAAATGTGATTCTCGGGACTCGATGAAGTTGACGAAGGCCGTTGGTGCCCTTTTCAAATTGGCGAAAGTTTTACCGGTGGGAAAGTTATCGGAGAGCTTGAAAAGATAATAGTCTGTTGGCTAGAGGTCTGGGGAGTATGGTGGATGAGGCAGTACTTCGACGCTCGATTCGTTCAATTTTCGGTAATTTGTGAAACGTGCGGACAGACGTTATCGTGGAGGAGGATCGAACCTCTTCTGTCGACCAATGCAGGCTGCTGCTGATTTTTTTGTCTTTAACGACGAAACACAAGCACTACAGGAAAATCCAACTATTAAAACTAGTCAACGGTGTAGCAATTTCTTTCAATGAGATATTTTTTTTCAATTGTCTTTTGAATATGCAGATATTCATTAAGTTTTTAATAGAAACGTCTAGCTCTAGCTTGTTATATAGTTTGAGTCCAAGATATAGGTGAATCTTCTGATAGAGAGAGGTTCGGTGAGGATTCGCTATCAGCAACCCTCTAGCTTTAGTTACGTATGGGTGGTCTTGTTAGTTTGCCCTAAATTTTCGTCTATTCTCATAAATGTAGAGACACATCTCATATATATATACAGACCAGCAACTGTAGGTATTTCCAGCTCTTTGAACGAGTGTCTGCATGAGTGTCGCCATCCTAAATTAGCAATTATTCTGACTGCGCGCTTTTGTAAAATAAATACTCTTTCAGCAAAGGAGCTCATAACTCAATTCAAGATTCCATAGCGCAAGTGACAGCCAGCAGTTGCATAATACAGATTTAGGAGAACGTCTCTTCCACAAAGATTCGACATAAATTTCAGTGCATAACAGTTCTTTCGTAGTTTATCACATAGTGAATCTATA